TACTCACACTTTAACTTCTTCTATTCTTGAACACTTGATGATTATCTAATCAAAATAAAAGCGCAGCGCTGAGTCTAGGAGAACTCACCGGTATCACACACACTCCGGAAGCGCTCAACTCGAGCAGCGGTCTAAAACAGTTTATTTAATCACCAAACAGACACAAGTTTACTTCAAGAATGAACAATTTGGCATAGATGAGTTTGAGGTTCGGTGTTTAAAAAACGGAGCAAACGGAAAGAGAAAGCGCGACCTATATTATAGCTCTATAAATGAAGCACACAGACTTTATTAGAGCCACAGAAAGACAAACGTTTTGCTGAAAATGCACAATACACAATTCATTATGTACATTAACAACGATTCGGGACCAATATAATGTAATTTAATGGAAAACTATGTGAATGGCGCGGCAGGATTTTCTGTCGGCTGCATTTAAATCTGCGTCTGAAGTTTCCCGCTCTGTTCAGCGTGCAGTATCACGTGTCTAAACAAATAGCACGTGCTGTCAGTGATTTCAACCACTAGAGGCCGCTCTCGCACTGTGTAATGACAGCAGTCCCTTCTCAGCCGCTCCAGCAATGGATGCAACCCGGAAAACTATTGGCATGGATTTTTGCCGATAACCGATTGTGGGGGCCATCTGCGGTCTCTCGGTGTACAACGGCAAGCCTTGAACAAGGAATCTTGATTGGCAGGTCCTCGCAGACTCGACAATCTGATCCTTCCAGTGCCACCTCAGCGTGGGCTACAATCCGTGTGCATGTCCAGAAACTCAACGGGCCTGCCACACATGCGGTATCCGCGAAGAGACATCTTATCCGCTTGTTAAGTGGTGACGTAAGAAGCGCTGTTTCTGGGTCCAAGCCTCAACTCGCTTCACTTGAGAATACTACCTCCTCAGCAGTCGTTTATGAGCACTGTTTATTCATATTAAACATTTAAGTTAAACGTTTTCAAACTTACGGTGTACACTACAGTCTCCATGCTCACAGCGTCCCAAACACAAATAATTTTTATATTTATTTATTTATATTTATATTTTCATTGCTATCTGGGATTTCGGTATGGAGTTAAAGGTTAGGATTATATTGTTTTTGGTAGTATTACATCACATTGTGAGTGTATATTAGCACCTTTTGTTGTTTTCACGTGGTATTTGATAGAGCGTTTGGAGTGGAAGCGGTGATGCGTGACGTCAGACTTAACAAGCGGATAATTCTTCTCCCACTGGAACACAAGAGGGGATCACGCAGGTCAACGGCGAAACAGGCTCCAGGTGAAGGAGAAAGATTCTGAGGTAAACTGGCGCCCGACATCACCTATATAGCGGCTAAGCCCACCAATCAGGCGAATGCTCGAATTGCTTGCAGAGCAATAGAGTGATTCAATCAGGCTTCAGCATTTCAAAGGAAAAGGATTTAACCATACGTAATGTCGAGAGACTGACTCGATTATTCTGTTAATAACAGAATAAAAAGAAGAAACATTTTGAATGATGAAACATGAAGACAATAAACACACGACTGCGACAATATATGGTTTATTTTTGTTTTTCAAGCCATCTCTGGTATTTTTATAATAATTAAGTATATTTATAATCCATTGTTAATCGACATAGCCTTTTTTTACAGTATAGCATTTCTGCCTCATTCGGTGATAAGAAGCAACATCAGATCACAAAAGGAAGTTATTTCAAACATTTGATTGATGTTGTGGCGTAAAAACATGTTATAATGTTCTCTTTTTTTGGACAACAGGTTTAGAAACGCTTCTCATTGCAAGTCATTTCCTCATCTTAGCGCCCAGATTCACGGGCACAAACAGAGCCAATTCAGAGAGAAATAAAATGCAAGGGAATTATTTAAACGAACAACCAAAAAAAAACGCAATTCACAGGCGCGTATTGAACCGTGGATGTTGTACTGAACGGTTCAATATTATATTGAGAATTGTGGCAGCCCTAATATATATATATATATATATATATACACACACATATGCACATATAAACAGTGATACACTATACAAAGTTTGGGGTAAGAAATGAATACTTTTACTCTTTAAGGGGCCGTTCACATGTCACGCCTAAAAACGCGTGGAAAACGCTAGGCGCGCCGCTTTCTGCTTTTTTTCAGAAGCGTTCGGGCGCTTGCGCTCCGGAGGCATCTGCCGTTGCTAAGCAACTATGGCCTGCGCTCTCCATGAAGACTCGGAAGTTTCAGCAAAGGATAAATGGATTTGCAGCACTAAAAATCGCTTGCAGTAGCAAGCTACTAAATTTATTTAAAAATGGCTATCCCTGTACAGCTATGATCAGCTGTTCCTTCATCTTGGCTGAGCTTTCAATGTTGTTATGGGAAAGGATGAAACTGATTGTTTGGTTCTTGTCACATGACCCGCAGTGCGCTTGCGGCATTCTGAAAAGTTGAAATGTTTTTATCTCGATGTGGCGCGGCCGCTCCTGGAAAAAATGAGCGCGTCGCACCGCATGCGCGTCGCGACCGCTTCCATTATGAGCGCGCCTGCCGCACGTCTTCATTTGAAATAACGAACTTGAGCGCGCAAAAAACGCGATATGTGAATGGCCCCTAAGGATGCATTAATGGATTGATCGAAATTGACAGTAAAGACATTTATAATGTTGCAAATAGGGTTGCAAAGGGGCGGAAAACTTCCAATAAATTTCCGGAAATTTTCCGGAAACTTTCCATGGGAACTTCGTCTGGGGAATTTTGGAAATATTCCAAGTTTGAAACTTACCAGGAATTTATGGATTACAGGGAATTTTTGGGAATTTATGGAAATTAATTGAAAATTTGGGGAAATGTATACAACTATCATATACAAACATAAATATAAACATTTAGTTTGATCATAGGCTCACATGCATGCAAACTAATACAAATTTTATAAATGACATTTTGGGATTTTTGGGGGGGAATCTGTGATGCTGAATTTTGGAAGCACAACTGTTTCCAAAATTGATTATAAATAAGATTATTAGAATGATTTCTGAAGAATCATGTGACACTGAAGACTGGAGTAATGATGTTCAAAATTCAGCTTTGCATCACAAAAAAACATTATATTTTAAAGTATATTAAAAGAGAATTTATTTTAAATTTTAGTACCAGTAATACTGCGCAATATTACTGTTTTGTTCTGTATTTTTGATCAAATAAATGAAGGCTTGATGAGCAAAAGATATGCAATGATTAAAACATTAAAATAGTAATGTTTCCAAACTTTTGACCAGTACTGTACTTCTGTATGATAACAGAAAACTGGCTAGCAGAAAGATCATCACAGCTTGAGCTAGTTTATACCTCATAAATTGTCAATGAAATAGCCAATTAAGCAATAGCTATTGAGCAATGTGTAGGGTAGAAATTAAACTGAAATTGCATTAAATCAGGTTGTTTTAACCAAGATTATGCTGCAAGATTTTTTCTCAACTACATTTAAGTCCCCAGTTCCTGCAATTTTGCTAATTTCCAGTTTATTCCCATTAATTCCCATGGAAAGTTTCCAGTCTTGGAAATTCCCGGAATTTTGCAACCCTAGTTGCAAAAGATTTCTATTTCACATAAATGTTGTTCATTTGAAGTCAGCTAATTATCATATTAGAATGATTTCTGAAGGATCATGTGACAATGAAGACTGGAGTAATGATGCTCTGAAAACTGAAAATCACAGAAATAAATGTAATTTTACAACTTTTACACAAAAAAACTATTATTTTAAACAGTAATAATATTTCAAGATTTTTACTGTATTTTATATCAGATAAATGCAGCCTTGGTGAACAGAAGAGACCTTTATCTTTTGAGCAGCAGTGTATGTCTATATAATAATGTAAAGTAGCAGTGCTTCATTAACAGGTGAATGCACAGATTGACCCTGTGTGACTCTGGATCTCAAATCCTCACGTCTCAGGTGGTTTATATGAGGCTTTAATCTGAATAGATTTATGATCTGGTTTACTGCGGTCTATCTCACCTGGTAAAGCTCCTCCAGGTTATATTTGATTGAAGTGCTGTTCTGAATAGCGCTGACAGCATCTCTGAGCTTCATCCATGTGTCTTCAGTGTAGGAGTCTGTTAGTTTTGGTCTGTCTGTAAAATGCACAAACACAAATTATTTATATTATTTATAATATTATTGAATAGACATAATAAAAACACTGCTTATAATATTCTGTTTGATTTTAAAGTCCAGTGAGCCCTATCTGCCAAATGAACACATTTTACATGACAGTGCTGTGTAGGAAGTTCACATGTTTTGACACAGATATGTGATTAATTACTGATAGTTTGTGTACTTGTGCTGTAGTTGCAGTTTTGTGTTCATCTCACCTTTAAAGTTCTTTATGATGAGTTTCTTAGACGCTCCTGATTTGGCTGATTTGGTGAGTCCGTTAAAGTTTGATTTCTGATTGTGCTGAATATCTTCCGCCATCATGAGCTGGATTTGATCTCAGTGCATTTGAATTCACACATGAAATACAATAAACGCAGAGTTGAGCTGTTAGCTGTTAGCTATAAACCAAAACCAGACCCAAGGAACCGGATCTAAACCTCATGGAGTGTGTTCAGCTGCTGCTGTGGATTGACACGACACACGCCTACAGACATATCCGCAGATATTCATCATGTACTCTTCATATTCATCATATAAACTCCATATTCACTTTGACTGGTCCGCAGCGAGAACCATAACAAGATGGCAAACCAACAGCGAATCTGCCGCCGGAGGATCAGCAGACAGCGCCACACACAGACACACATACACACGCACGCATTGTTGGTATTGGTGGTTTACGGGGACTCTCCATAGGCGTAATGGTTTTTATACTGTACAAACTGTATTTTGTGTCATACCCATGTCATTATACAAATTTGTGTCCTCATAAACCACCCAAACCAGTGCACACACACACAAACACATAAATTAATACTACAAATCATAAATACAGAACATATCAAACTTACTGGTAGCAGCATAAAAAAGTATTATTATTATTATTATTATTATTATTATATAAGATTATTATATTCAGAATACTTCAACAGTCTCAGCATTAAGGTGGAGGGAGTGCAGTCTCCTAACCTCACATTCTGCGGTCTGTTTGTTAAAAAATTAATGATCGATCCATCCGCAAAGAGAGGGGCTGAAGTTTAGGTAATTGATTTTTGTAATTTATGTGGTATTATCGTATTAAAAGCAGAACGAATATCAATAAAAAAGCATCCTTACATAAGAGTACTGGTGCTCCAAGTGTGTCAAGGCTGTGTGCAATGCAGTTAAGACGGCATATCCTCTGTTGATCTATTTGCACTATAGGCAAACTGATGATGGTCAAATTTAAGAGGAATAGCTGCCTTTATGTGTGTCAGTACCAGCCTTTCAAAGCACTTCATAATAATGGGCGTCAAAGTAATCGGTCTGTAATCATTCAAACATTTTGCTGTAAATGTCTTTAACAAAGGGATAATAGTAGTTGATTTAAAACAAGTGGGGACAATAGCCTGTCGAAGTGTGTTATTGGATATATTGGTTAACACATGTGTCAGTTGTTCTGCACACTCTTTCAGAACCCTTCCCTGCACTCCATCCGGTGGTCCAGCTGCTTTCTTGATGTCAATTTTAGTCAGTGTGGACTTCACTTGATGTGGGTGCTGATGAGTACTTGCTCTGTCTACAGTGGTGCAGTAAATGTGATAGGGCTGTTGTTTACATCATCAAAACAAACAAAGAAATGGTTTAAGGACATCGGGGAAAGCAGTGTCCGTGTTGGGCTTATTACCACTCTTGTAATTAGTGATATAGCCTTGATCCCTTTCCACGGGAGTCATTTTTGTTGAAATGTGCCCCAATACTCTGATTATAGTTGTACTTTGCATCCCAGATGCCCTTCCTCAGTTTACCCTGCGCGTTTCGCCTGTATGTCCCCCAATTTAAAAGCAGTATCTCGAGCCTTGAAAAGAGTTTTAACCTTGCCAATAAACCAAGGCTTCTGATTAAAAACACTTTGATGGTTTTTCTTGTAGTCACTTTATCAGTACAGAATTTTATATATGACAGGACTGATGAGGCATAATCCTCTAAATTAGCTCCTTGTGCAAAAAATGTCCCATTCTGTGTTTTCAAAATAATCCAGTAGCCCCTCACTGCAGAACAAAGATCCAGGGGGCGGGGTTGGATCCACATCTAGGGCGTGGAGATGGGTGGCTTTAGGGATCAGGGGGTGGAGACGGGTAGGTTTAGGTATATGTAAGGTGGGAGGAGTTGGATCTGGATCCAACCTCCACACACACACACACACACACACACACACTCATGTTTGTTTCGCTATCTTAGTAAGGACATTACATAGACTTCCATTGTTTTTATAATGAAGCACACACACACACTACTAAAGCTACACATACTGTACAGAACAAAAAAATAATACAAGAAAATACTAAAATATAAAATAATAAATACAACTTTATTTAATTAAATTAAAATTAAAAAATACTTTAGGCCTTCTTTGACAAAACATCTAAAATGCTCACACATTAGATATCTAAACATAAAAAAAACTAAATACACAAGTATTTCTTTAGTTTTCACATGACACTGAGACAAAAATTTACATTAATATAACTCAATGTGACACTCTCATCACTTTATATTTAGAATAAAGCAAATTGTAATTGTCTGTGCATGTCTGCAATTGTAAATGAAACCATTAAAAAAAAAAGAAAACCTTTTGGCAAAAACTGAAATGGCATTATTTTATTATTGACAAAAACTTACCTAGCAGATTAGTATTATAAACAACCCTTTAACGTGCTATTCAAAAAACATGGAGACTCTAAAATGAAATACATGCTTATGCAAGGGCTCATGCTGCTTTAACTCGTGTATTTTATTAATATTTACATTTATGGAAAGTGCAAATTGGAATCCACAGCTGCGTGTTCACACATGTAAACAGGAAGTGCTGCTGTGACGTTAGCGGCTCTGCAGTGAGGTGCACGCGCGAAGTGATGTGAATTCATTTGGGTAAATAAATACAAGTGATTTTCTCAAAAAAATATCGCTTATATAATATAATATTTATTACGCTATTGTATCGTAACGCTTCATGATAATTTAGAGGGTTACTGAAACGAAGAATGAATTAATGAATGAATTAGCAGCTGCGCTAGAGCTAATTTCAAATACTAGAGTTTAATAGCACATATTAAATACTTCATTTATGGATTTAACTGGCCGTATTTGTTTTGTCTCGTATTCTAGTGTGAATTGAATGTTCTGCTGCTTAGGCAGCAGCATTTCTGCTGATCAGATGTGAATGTGACTCAATAGTGCTGCTGTTGTCTCAGTAGGCAGCACACTAGATATCATAACGGCGTGTTTGTGGAGATCAGGATGGCTCATATCACATTGAATCAGTACCTGCAGCAGGTGAGCGAGTTGTTATCTGTCATATATTCTATCATAGTTGTTTTATTGTCCTATGCTTTCTCTTCTGTATGTAATGTGGCTCTTGTCTGTGTTTTCTGAAGGTTCTGGAGGCCATAGACAGCAGAGACGGGGCGTTCTGTGCAGAGATGTTGTCCTTCAAACATCCACACGTGGCCAACCCTCGTCTACAGGTCGAGCGCTCATTGTCCAGCGAAGGACGTTTCAGTGTTTCATCTGCCACAGATGCCCAAATCAAGACCCCCTTTTAAAATGTGTTTTCATATATAAAGACACAACTGATGAATTAAAATGAAAAATACGTGTAAAATATTATTTGTAGAATATCTAGTTTATATTACATTACATTTTTATTTTTTTTTTCTACTCGTGCTAGTAATGTAATTGTTTATTTTAAACAAATTATTTTCATTTATCCAGATATTTAGTAATTTTTATTACTTATGTTTTATAAAATACCCTGTCTCTAAACATTTCCTTGGACCCCCTAGCACTCAAAAAGTTTATTTTTATTTATTTTCTATTTTTAAATTTATTTAGATATGTGGTTTAATATTATTTTTTATAATACACATGGACTGCCTAGCACTTAAAATGTTTTATTTTTGTTTATTTATTTTAATCACACTTTTTGTTTTTATTTCAATTTATTTAGACATTTCGTTTAATTTAATTTTTATTATTTATGTATTTATTTTTAATTGTTTAGTCTTGTTTTTCTCTAAACATTTACATAGACCCCTAGCACACTCAAAATGTTTTTTATTTTTTATTTATTTTTATTTAGATACTTCACTTAATCTTATTTTTTATTATTATTATTTATTTCTTTTTACCCTGTTTCTCTAAACATTTCCATGTTGCAGCTGTCCAGTCCAGAGGAGAAGTGTCAGCAGCTGCTGGAGCCTCCGTATGATGAGATGGTGGCCGCTCATCTCAGGTACTGATTCCTCGTCAATGATGCAGCGATGCATCTCCACTGCATCTTCACTGTCTGACATCTCGTCTCTTCCTCTGCAGATGCACATTCGCTGTGTCTAATCATGACTTTGTAGAGGCCTACAAATGCCAGACGGTGGTGGTTCAATATCCTTTGTGTCGGATCTTCTGGTGTAACTGTATGTTAGATGTGCAGTTGTTCAGTGTTTGATCTTTAACACAGTTGAACATCATTTCTGAAAGCGTTTCAGGCTCATAAAGAGGAGAACTGGTGAGATGTGGCTTATAGATTTGTTTTGTATTAAACCACAAACACAACGGCAGTCGCTGATGATCACTGTGTTTTCAGGGCACTGCCGATCATGTTTGCTGCGACCCTCGACCTTAGGATATTTGCCAATAATGTGAGTAGAGATCATTCATCTGTGGATCTGTAACAACAGCAGCGGCTCATTGTGTGTGTGTGTGTGTGTGTGTGTGTGTGTGTGTGTGTGTGTGTGTGCGAGCGCGCAGGCAGAGCAGCAGCTGCAGTCGAAGGGGAAGGGGAAGGTTGGAGACATGCTGGAGAAAGCAGCTGAACAACTCATGAGCTGCTTTAGAGTGTGTGCCAGTGACAAGTGAGTTACACACACAGTGATACACACACCTCTGACTGTCGTCCACAGCTGATTCTGACCAAGATACACAAGAAGCAGAAACATACAGTAAAAACTGGGAAATATTATTACAATTTAAAATAGTTTTCTGTGTGAATATATTGGAATTTATTCCTGTGATCAAAGCTGAATTTTCAGCTTCATTACTCCAGTCTTCAGCGTCACAAGAACCTTCAGAAATCATTCTAATATGCTGTTTTGCTGCTCAGGAAACATTTCTGGTTATTATCAATGTTGAAAACAGTTGTGCTGCTTCATATTTTTGAGGAAATCATGATTTTATTATTTCTTTGATGAATAAAAAGTTCAATAGAACAGCATTTATTTGAAAAGGAAAAAAAGTAAAATAAATAAATGATTGATTACTTTAAGAAAAATTGTACTCACCTCAAACTTTTGAACTGTAGTGTACATGTTAAATTGATCATTTCTATCACATCATGTCATGTCAAGTGATTAACTTTTACACTGTCATCTATCAGCTGTTGAATGGATCTGTACTGTATAAAGTGAGTCTCAGTGGTGTGTCTGTATGGTCATGTGACGTATTTGTGTGTTTCAGTCGCGCTGGGATCGATGACTCGAAGAAATGGGGAATGTTGTTCCTGATCAATCAGCTCTTCAAGATCTATTTCAAAGTAAGAGTCTGTATAGCTGACCTCTGGCCCATGTTATTTGAGTATCACTGAGATACT